TTCGTCACACCCCGCTCTCTCTTGTTGTCAGCGCAATTGAAGTAGTTCTATAATTCGCACATGGTGCACAAATTATTGTATTGCCTGCACGCTCTCACTCGCATTAAAAAATCTCCACCTCGCAAAGTCTAAAATCTGGGATAACTTTTCTGACTCGTGGGCATCTGTGAACAACTATCCATATGAGGGAGACTCCCAGAACTTTCGGGAGACTTGGGATGTCTGCTGACAGGTAGTGATGGTTAGATGAAGCCTCATGAGGCATTGAACCGTTTGGCAAAATTGCTTCAACGATCTCCACAGTTCATGAAGCCCCATGTGAACATGTCACCACCTACTGGTGGAGTGCATAACTACAGTCTGTAATGAAATATGTGATTTTTTGCAATTGTTTTTATTTTTTTTTCCCTTTTAAGTTCCTTTGAAATTGTTAATGGTTGGTGTGTATAATAAAATCTTTTAAAGTTTTTTTTAAAGCATAAAATGTCTTTTAAGGTGCACTGTTTTTCTGCCATTTTAGTGAAATAAGCTCAAGCAGACAGTGAAAGTGTGTGTACAAATTGAGCAATGGTGAGCAAAATGAAAGGTCCTAGTCATTTTTATTCAAACATAATAAACTGACCTAATTTGGCAGCGCTTTTACACAATCTATATTTTTACTAGAGCAAACCAGTGCTAGTTAGTCTCATTAGCCAAAATAATTAAATTTCATCAAAACTTTCAAATGCTAAAGGTGGGTCTTGAACCATCAACCTCAGGAGAGGGAGTCTGTCTTACAGAGGACACCATTTATTTGGTTACTTGCCCAGTGGAAAAAATACTACTTAACACTAGCGTTACAACTGTGTCCGATGGCTTGCTCAGATGTTCAGACCAAAATAGTTTTAAGCAACTAGATTGGTTGTTTTTCCAACCAATCTATTCTCAGAATCTATCCAAACTCCGTCCAACTGACAGCAACTCTCTTACAAACTCTGACATCTTGTCTGAATACTGAGGCTGTTTAAATGCCTGTCAAAATTCTTGCGCTTTCTGAACCTCTTCCCGAAGCGGTCACGTGGTATCATGTTAGCGAGGCCTCGGACGTCATCAGTTTTGGCCCCTCCTCTAAATGAATCAGGACTCGACACAAGCTTCGGGGAAACGCCCCTTACATTACTTGACACACGCCTCGAAGCCTCGGCTCATCTCATGACATCACTACTGACAGGGTTTGGTTGAGGTTAGAGGACCCAAATGCAGAGGCAGGGAGGCAGAGATGAGTTTATTGAAGGTTTAATTGAACAACTGAGGCAGGAATCCAAAAATCCAACATGAAAAATGTAAAATAAACCAGAATCAGGGAAAACAATCATGAGGAGCCAGGGTAAGACGAGGTAAGACAAGGAACCAGCACTGAGGAACTGCACAAGGAGAGTATTTATGGTAAACTGAACAAAGAGAGGACTAATGAGCTGATTGGGAGCCGGTGTGAAGAGAGGAGATTAGGAAGGAGCTAGGGAAAAGAAGACCAACACAAGAGGGTAAAGGAGGGCAACAAATAAACCCCTAAGAACTCAAATATATACAGAAAACACAACAAAATAGGAATCAAACCAATAAACCCAGAAAACAAGGAGCAAAGTAAAACTGAATACTCAAAAGAAAACAACAGAACCAAGACCGTGACAGTTGCTCAAACAACCAATTTCCAATAATGGCAATGACTTGACCAAATAAGAGTAAAATAAAACTCAAATGTGAAAATAAAAATGCAAAGATAGGGGTGGATAAACATAGTTTATCAGCACTTTAAAAAAAAAATTGTTTCAAAAGTCTGTGTCAGGTAAGCAGTTTTGAAACAACTAAATTAATTCATAAAGAAGAAATCAACTAATGGTAAGTACTCTTTTTCCCTACATAGGGGTCATTCGGGGTCATTGCCCCTTTAGAACTGGTTCTGGTCCCTGTAATGGTTGTGCTAAATACATTTCTTATCAATGTATGCACTTGAAATGAAACCTTTGTTGAAAAGTCCCTATTAAGTCACTATTACATATTTTTTGCCCTCCTACTTTTATTTCCCCAATGGTTTAAAATTGAATGTGTTGCACTTTTAGCTTAAGCTGTATTGAGACAGGATTGCCGTTTTAGGGGTGCACTGGTTGCAGTTATTTGGCTGATAACTGATAACATGCCAATTCCAATTTCGACGGATACTGATATTTTCTCTATAACAACTGTAATAGGATCACAATACACCTTTAAAAAAATTACTGTGAAAGAATGAAACTTAATGCAAATGCACAAAACAACCTTGAATTTAAATAAAGTGTTTAGAGCATTGATAGTGGCGGATTATTAG